TTTATTGCTTTGAATGGAAACACGTCGATCGAGGGAGAAGTTCAAAAATGGTACCTGTGTGTATTACACGAGGTATTACCACTTCCCCAATAGGAGTCTATAAAACAAGATCATACTCGTAAAGTACATAGTATACAGTATACTATACTGACATGTTTTTAGCCACTTTGTCACCCTGAAACAATAAAGGTGATACTTGGGTGACCCTTAAGTCCAAGTTTTGTAAAAAAAATGAGTGAGATCGTTATCAAAATGATGATTTTTTTATCGTATACTTTGGTAACAGTTTAGTAATTTAGTATATCTTTCATATATATTTTTCCTTTATAAATTATAAATTATAACAAGGGTGGTATTTTATGAGTGATCCTTTACGAGTATTTTAGTAAACTTCTTACATCCGAATTTTTACGACTTTTATGTAACAAATATAATTACTCTGAATGCGATCGTAAAAACCGATCGAAACCTAATCTCTTTTAGTGGAACTACTCCCAAGTGCAATGGAACGGTATTGTGCTTTAATTGTACATATATTGTAATGGCTGCAGTTATGTAACGATGTCACTTTGGGCGTTAAAACACATTTCTCAAGCACCTATTGTACATAGCTCGAAGTATTAAGATAAATCCTTCCATTAAATCGTCCTTTTAAGCTAATTAGCTTACATCGTGTTTGACTAAATCCTAGCTGGAGGGTGCCTATATCGACGGATTTGGTATATCGAAGATAAAACACGTTCTCCCAATTAAATTTTCATAGAAAAACGACGAATGCACCTATGCATTGCAAGCGTTTTTCAGGCAATTAATTTTTTGTCTTTTACACAAAATCAGTATTTATGAAGCAACTGAAATTCTAGGTCTCTTCGGAAATCGCACAGTTTCAATTAGCACAATAGACATTCAATATGCAGGCTGTTTATGAAACACCCGTTTTATCTAACAATCAGCAGCGTGTAATAACTTTTGGGGAGTGAAATTTTCTGTTAAAATAAGCAGGTGTGTTTGTAAAACAAACAAAACCTTTTAGATTGTTATCCCGAATCTACCTGGCATGACTTTCAATCTTCAAGATTCTTAAATATGGATTTGTGTGACACGAAAATAAAAATCTTCGGGAATTATCTGATTATATCTCCTGTTTCTATTTGCAAGGTTTCCCAAAAATTTTTCATCTCGAAGGCGTTCCTTTCATCCGCGATTAAACTTCCCATAATACGATTGTATTTTCAAGCCGAAGCGACACAAAGTTCATTATTATTGCGAAAGCTGAAAGTTCTTTTTGAAGAGAGTTTGTGCTGTTCTCGGAACAAATTACGTTACTAGTATTAAGATTTTCTAGAGGCGTTCACATTTAAATGTTGGGTCTTCTGCTAAATTAATTTCGAATTCGGAGCGAATCCCCCTTCGTTGGGTGCTTTATCTGTTAGTAAGGGCTGCTACAGCCCCTTTACTATATTAAAGGCAGGGACAGAAATTGCATGTTACGTTCCGTAATTGCCAAACTTCATAAGAAAATATGTAATATACCTAGTACGCTTTTCTTTTTCGCCTCGGATTGTCTTGTTTAAACCGGCTTTTAGAAAATAATAAAATTTCATATATGCCAAAGATAAAATCGGTTATTTTTCACATCTTGTTTGTGTAATCGATTTCGAATGACAGAAATACAGGTTTCGTTACAAATTCGATGCCTGTATTTGTTTTTTAAAAAAAGCAATTCAGGTTAAGCTGTGTAAAATTTTGTAGCGGCGAATGTAAATCCGCTTTTTCAACCTCTTATTCGACCCGATTGGCAATATTAACGCGCATTTGTAAGTGCATTTCAAGTAAAGTTATGTAAATGTCAGAATTAAGGTTAACTTTTGCATATTATATAGAAGAAATAGCATGCACTTCAAGTTTTCTCTCAAATCGTTAACGTTCTCCGTTGCAAAACTTGCGACTTTATTTTTTCGTGCATGCGAATCATGCTGTTGAAAAACTGGTACTAGAATCTATCATTTATAATTTATACCTCTAAAAAGGCATCTTATTAATTAATTCTGTAGACATCGCCTTATATGTCCACAAAAGTTTCTTTAGTGTCTTTCGTGAAAATGAATATATTGATCTTATTACCTACGCCCATATCTGTTATAGAAATAGCAGTACTGATTTGAATTTCGAAACCAGATAAATCAAAGCGGATTAAAGCTATATAAATAAATTGGGGATTAAAGAGGTATTAGTTGCTGATTGAATTTAATATTTATTAACCGGATTTGGCATTAAAATTGAGTATAAATATATTTAGAAATTAGTTTGTCATATTTTATTTCTTTTGATGGTACCGCTTTGTTATATAGATTATTATACTTTTTATTTAATCCCATGCAAAAGAGGCATTAATGAACTAATAATATAACGCATTTCTCAAATGTCGCCTATAAAAACGTTTTATTTTATCTGTTCATTATGAGATGGAATATATTTTATCTTTTATGTATATACGTTATGTAATGCGGTCTAAAATGACATAATCTAAATGATATTTTTATTGGTACGTGTGTGGTACGCATACATAGGATATATTATGGGCGACCAACAGTTATGTTTAAAATTCATTAAAAAAGTAAGACTAACCAAATGTATAGCAAAACCTTATAATTTCCCAAATGATCTTGATTAATATTTAAAAACAGTTATTTTTTATGGGTATATTGATTTTTGTGTATCAAATTATATTTATTTGAACTTACCGGGAAGATAAAGCGTTATGAGTTAAGTCGAACTTAAAATTTTTCAAAGGAATTTCTGAAAACCACAGTGGAAAATTTCCAGGAAATAAATGGTGCCAGAGTTGGAGAATTTAGTTCCGGATAAAGAAGAATTTATAAATGATTGTTTGGCATATGTCGCGGGCCAGCGCAATGGCGGCAAAGTGGTGGAGATGTACCCCTGCTAGTACCTGTCAGGGTCACGTCCCTATCCCCCATAATGGTGGCACTGGCGAACGTTTAAGAAATTTACCCAATGCATTCTTAGGACGTTTCCGCTCTTTCTTAGGAGTGGGTAGGACCATATTTATGTGTAGATGTCGCGCTACGGTGGAGCTTGTGCAGTCGTAATACCTCACTATAGGACAGCTCGGTTTGATCCTACTGTTTACTATAGGTCAGCTTGCAGTATAATGAATCTAACGCACGCGTCGCCTTATAAAGCCTTGTTCGTCGGGGGGATGATTGTTTTTCACAGCATGGGGGAAAACACCGAGTCGCTTTTACTGACATCCCGCTATGTTGATGTGGTGTGATGCGTATCGGCTACCATATGTACCACCACAGACCGATTTTTTCGTATCGAACGCCGATTAACTTTGAACGACTTTTTCCTATCAGCCGGTGAATAGCATCGTCTTATCACTCGAAAGGGGAAAGGATACCTTTCGCATCTTTCATAGACTACCTCTTTGTTATCGACCGCCGATTCACTCCGAGCGTGTTTTTCGTATCAACCGGTGATTAAGTGCAATCAAGTTGTAGAAAATTATTAGTAGTGAACTTTGTTAGTATTTCAAGCTCGAAAATTACTGCTCAATGTACACATAAATTATGTAAAACATGTATTGAACTAGGTACTTACTGCTATTTGGTGGAATTAGAAACACAACGGTTATACATTATTTTTTAACGTTTATTAAATCGTGAAAAAATAACATAATCTCTTAAGAAATTTTTAAGAAGATTGTGGATAGTTTAGCGCTTCTCCTGCAAATTTCTTGTTGAAAACGCTTAATTAAGGTGCCTTCTAGCCATTTTTATTAATTTTAGAATCGTAGCTGGAGAGAAAAATTATACACGAACCGCACTGGTGGTGTAGTGAATGCTATGGCAAACTTTCATCCACTTTCCTTGTCCATGATATTCAACTTGTACAAGAAAGAGGTCCCAATATTTTTAATTGTAAAATTTTTTCGTAGTGTAACAAATTGGGGAGTGGAACTTGCGGCTTTACGTATAATTTTGAGTGTAATTTTTTGATTTTGCTAACATGTTTCTTATATTTCTACTGCGAGGTGGGTTAAAAAATTCAAACTACATATATTGAAAAAACAATTCCAACTGTAGGTAATCTTATTTGAACCAAAATATGCTCAGTATCCGTTTTTACTTTAAAAAAACCTTCCAGTATACAACTTATGGGCGGAATGGTCTAAATATATTCGAAAATACGCTTGGTTGACTAAAAGTGCTCGACTGCACATGATCATACCCAGTGTTTACGGCAGTTTTTTTCTCCTTCAGGTCGTGCCGTGCGACCTTTGGGAAAAAAATTTCAAATTCAAGAATGGCATACTCAAAAATCTACTGCTATAGTTGCTGAGAAAAATATTACAGAAGACACGCACTTTTTTATAGACTTTTGGATCTACAGTTTATTTGGCAAAATGAATCAAAAATTAAGAACGCACTTAGGAGCGTTCCGCCTAGTAAATGACGTAAGAAAAGTCGTATATTCACCCATGTTTCCAGTTATCCGTTTGTCATTCCAAGAGTGTAATTTCTTATTGGAGAGTAGCTTATGGACTCGGCTTCAGATAAACACACAAATGGAGACACAAATCTAGCACCTAAATATTATTACTATAACTTCACGGGAGTAGCTAGCATCCCCACTGCAAATTTTGCTTTCCTCATGAAGTACTCAAAAATACTCTAATTAGATCAAAATTATGAACTTCATGTTTTTAAATTTTACGCCTTGCGAAAATCCATCAAATTTGATATAACATGTGCGAGTTTCAGAAAAATTAGTGATCCACTGTGATTTGTCCCTTTTACATTTACCACAACGAAAAGGCATGCTGTCAATCTTACCTTCGTACTATACCAAAACGATAATACATTTTTGTTTCATTTCGAACATGGTTTCGCATGCTTTCAAATAAGTCTAAAATATAGCCAATTGCGAGGACAATTTGGCAATCGATACTTTTTTGTATCAGTCTCTAAACCGCGAATTGAGAAGTATACCGTAACGAATCAAAGAACGAGGCAATTTAAATTCAATATTTTATTCGAAAATTTCGTTTCTGGTATAATTTGTACAAGATTAATGAAATTTCTAGAATTTGTAATTTATTTACAGAAACCAAGCTTGTTTTATTTGAAACCGAACCACACACTTTGAAGCGTTAAGTGATTGACATGACATTAATTACTGTTTTATTTTCAGGTAAGCTACTAGACTTTGTTGCCTTCTACAACAAATCCACGTCACTATGTCAGATTATCCTCAACAAGCAGATGTGGGATAAGCTTCGTAAGTTTATTCAAATTAAATATTAGAAATTAATATTCTCGAGTAATTAATCAAAGTGAATTTAGCTAAACGTAAAAATACATTTTTGTGGGTAATGCTAATTAAATGCAACAGAAAGATGTTGAATAAGTAATTTAAATTGCTTAAACAACCTACTTCAGTCGCTTAAAAAGTTGTTTCGTTAAAATAGAACATGTCAAAGTGACATTACAAGAGACTGAATTAATGATAATCTAGAGAGGCTACTTTAAAAATGTGATATTCCCTTGTAAGTGATTTCAAAATGTAATTTTTCTTGTTAAATAACGTTTTTATTGATCCTACTCTCACTAGGTGCACCACCCTAATTGACATAAGTAATCATATCGTGTGATACGCACTTAAAGTGGAATTTTGCATGGAATTGCCCACGCAAATGGTTTAACACTTACAAGTTTCAATACACGAACTGCTCACTTAATATTTTTTGGATGTATTTATTGAAACTCGATGTGCAGTTAAACGAAATTTGGGACTCTTAAATTTGCATACTTTGTTATTATTTTAATTCTTGCGGCGGGTATTTACGATAAGTGGCTACCAAACGTCTCTACTCTATCATTGACAGCATACTTAATACTTATCTTTGGTTAATGATGGCGTAAACGCTGTGGCCACTGCAGTTTTTTTTCCTGTTTTCGTACAACTGGTTTGTGTTAGTGCGCAAATCTACATAGATTGCTGATTTTATTTTTTCCGCTTAACAAATTAGGGAAACGGTTACCGAGTTGTATTAGTACGAATGCAACTGGTTTTATAAAGACGTCGTTATTAGCACTATCGCTCGATTTTAATGTATGCAAGTACTGCCGGTACTGCTGCTGTTACAGTGCAGATAAGGCCGTAAACGGGCAACCCATTATTACTAATGATAAGTTTATGGGGAAATAGGTGATTTATTTGCCGAAGAGCGGACCGAATTGTATACACGATTATTTGTTATTCTATACAGGCAATTCCATCGCTTCCTGAATGCGAAAGTTAAGATTTCTCATTCGTATACACAACAGAAATTGACCCACCGGAATTCCAAAAAAGTTTCTCAATTTATTTTTTCCCTCGAATGCCAAATGAAATTCGTACACGAAGTGTTTAGCAATTATTACCATTTTCCTTATATTAATTGATGACAAATCGCTCGCACAAAATTGCAAAATGGGTATAGCTTACGGATATATCCGATTAATTTAGAATGCGCGCGCGTGCTATTGTTCCAAATACAAAGTTGCGTGTGTAACTACAATAATCGTGCATGACATCTCAAGGGGGAGTTTATTTGAAAAGTTGGGAGTCAGCTTATGGGATTCATCGATTATTACATTTATTGTAAATTGTGTGCGACGACGGCACGAAGTATTTTATTTTTTTTATTTCGGTTACCTATTTTGAGTATTTGCTAAGGCAAGACTAAAATCGATTCGAAAAAAGTTTTAGAAACGTATTTGAGGAATGTCATTGGCAGATCGCTTGGAGGTTTGGGGTTAACTCCCTCCTACAATTGTTTTGGTTTAATTGAGACTTCGATTGATCTCTTACATGTTCCTGTAGTAGTACACCGTATACCAACAAGAATATACGTATTACAACGTAGTATATTATATAAACTATCGATAGCTGTGGTGTGCTGTGGTTTTCGGAGGAAGGAGTAGATTGTTCAGTTTCTATCGCTTTCTCGCTCATGTGTTGGCATCTGATAGAGAATAAAGAACTCGTTTGACATTGGTTCACAAACTAGTGACGTAGGACTCACCTTTCATGAATTCAACTGTATTTTACAAAAATTTCAAAAAATAGAACGTCCGATCTCCCTTCAGTCGTCAAGTCTGAAATTTGTTACTCATATAGGAAACAAAAATTGACGAAGTCCTCATGTTCGATACGACTTCAGCGCACTTTTGTGTGGCAGATCAGTATCCTATTAGTCAGTTATGAACCCACTTCCAAAGTCTCGTTCACCCGCAATTCGCGTTTAGGGTTTTGACTCCACCATAAGTAAAATCTTGTCGGAGGCTACCACATTCCCTTTGTCGGTACCCACTTCCCACCAAAATTGTAGAAGATAGGAAAAACTGAAATATCAGTCAGTAAACCACGCTCGGAGAGGACTCCCAGATATCGCCGACCCCACATCATGTGGTAATTGTTGTTAATTTACATGGCTCCGGTAGGTACACGTAGATACAGTCCTTGTCTTTCTACAAACGTTCTTCTAGGGGTTATATCAAAATTATTAAAATAATTAAAAATTGAATAATGAATCCCAAAATTAATAAATCCCCTAATTCAATAATGATCGACCACGTTAATTTACAGAATTCACAATAATTTCCCTCGAAAACCGAAACCCGGACTAGAAAATGTAAAAACTCGGTCAGATATTAATTCGAGAATTCCAAAAAATATAGGTTTAATCGCAAGAATATAATTACGGTTTTTCGGTAAAATTGCAAATTTTAAAATTCGGAGCGTAGGAATGTGTTGAGCAAAAATATCCCAGCATAATATATAGGTACGGAGGCTAAAAAGATCATTTCCGCCCTGCGATGTGGCCGTTACAATTCTAGCGAAATATTAAGGAATAATTTCCGGTATTACATGGGAAATTCTTATATAGGAAAGGGAGGAAATTTTCGATCAAGATACGGAATTTTATTTTTTGCGAAAAGTTCCTGGTTTTTTTGTGTATTTAAGTAGCTTGCATATTTTGGTGTACGTAATCTTTTCCGAGTTTTTGGGAAATTTCCGGTGCAAAATGTTGTGTCAAAGTGTTTCAGGATGTTTTTGCACGCTCTTTTGTCGATAGGCGAATGCTTGAAACTATAGTCAGAAGAATATCACATGGAGAGGTTCTGTTGATAAGGAAAAGGTGCAGCAACAATTTTACCGGACAATAAATTATAGCCGATGCCTCAAAAATTTTCCAATTCTACCGGCACCGGAAAGATGCCCTCAAATGCATTTCATGAGAAAGTGATTTGGCAAGGCACATTTTGCCTTTCTACAATTTTAGGTGAATAACCTCGTGAATAACACTTACACCAAAAAGTAGTAGTAGATTGACAAGAGTCTGAAAATGTTTGATCGTGCAGAAGTCATCTAAATTAAGGCATTTTTGAAAGAACTAGAAGACGGAAAAGCAAACTGAAGTGCCTACCCTTAATTTTTGTAATATACAAAGTCCATTTTGCAAAAAAAAAGGTTGGAAGTTCTGAATTCGAAATTTTGGTGGATTAAGAGAGCACTGGACTCTTCGAGAAGAATATAATGGTATACCTATAATACATTTATTGTGGCGTAGATACTTTTTGCTTGTACAACCGCATCTGGGCTATGAATTAAACTGACCACAATCGTGACGTTGATTCTCCGTTGCTACAGCTGCAACCAAAGTTATTCGTTACAGAAAGTTCCCAAGCAAACAGTAATATTATCATAGGCTCGCGCGAAGTGGTGCATAAACTACTCGATAAACTATTAACGAAAATTATAAATGTAGACATCAAATTTGGACAAATTAATAAAACAAGTTATGGATTGTCGCCTTTTTTAACCTTTTGTTATGCAACCGGTAGATCCGTCAAACAGATTCCGTCAATTTAAGCATTAATTTATTTAAGTTATTCCGACAGAGCTTAATTTTCGTTTTTGCCCGTGAGATCGAGATGCGGATAAGCAACTGTTGACGATTCGTATAGAGATAACAGTTTTTGGTGATCGCGACACAAAAAGTTAATTGCTAAATTACGAAGCAATATTTTTTGAAGGCAACCCATATAATTTCGGGGGCCCAAATTCTCGATTTAACTAATGGAATCGCTTTTGGTCCAGTCACAGTTTAAATTCCCTGCATTAATACGGGTTAATAAAGGGGCATTTTTAAGATTTTATTATTAATGTCGCCCAAGTTGAGCGTCCGGCTTCCAGCGTGGCGCGCATTAGCCGAATTCTGGGGATCCTGTGTGGTCCATTTAAAGTGCTTACGTGTTATGTGCGTTTTGTACCGATGCATTAACGTTAAACTAGTTCTTTGTGTTTAATTCGAATTATCATTCGCTATCGTTTCGATCTCGTTATTTCGAATTGTTTATCTGTGAAACGCGACTACTGTTTCAAGTTCGAGCTATATTTTATAAGCAACTGTATTCTTTAAAGTCCTTATCGTATCGTTAACTCTAACGACCTCCTTTTCCAAGTCATTTGCACCAGGAATCGTTCTTTGTTAGAAGCTCGTACCGGTAGAACTTAATGCGTTTTGTATGTTGTGTTGTACTCACTACGCGGTCTGACTACACATAAACGAGACGGCACCCCATTCCTAGTGTGAACGGACGTTACCTGTCGCATGTGAGCTGCAATTTACGACCATTGAGACCAGATCTGTCATTACCTGCACCTATCGTTCATCAGCCCTAACTCGAGCCTATTCAGTTGTCGACAATATTGCCACATCCTTCACATTACGCAGATAAACTACACAAAAGCAAGATCTAACTAGCGCTAATTGCGTAATTGAGAAGGAAAAACTAATTTACGATCATCCCGTCTCCTAATTTTCTAGTTAATTATAAACATTGACACGACAAAAGCCTCGAACAAAAAATCGGACGATGGCTTTATGCTTCCTCGTGCAGTTTAACTTATGATGCGAAACCGGATTTCCCATTAACCTACTAAGTCGAGTCTCTCTGGGCGAGTTCTGAAAAATTATCTTCTTGCTCCTTTTATGTCGGTTTGTTATTTTGACATAGTTCCGCATAAATTCGGCAATTCAATTTATGATTTCAAAGTAGAGTCGTTCTATTTTCTGGGGCGCGTCGATAAACTGTTCGGCAATAAATGCATAACGTACAATATGATGATGGACATATTTTCAACTTGAAGTGCTTCCACTTTTAACTTTTGTTTGTTTTTGGGCTAATTAATACAAAATTGCAATGACGGAATTCTGCCCTCAGTTCGAC